CTGAAATCAAAACATTTATTCAGGAACTACAGGCTAATACATCAGAAATTAATTTTAAATATTTGTTTTGTTTTTAGATTAATTTTCGAAATACTATTCTGATTGACGCAGGAAGAGTCTTTATGTCCGTAATGTATAACGCAGAACCACTACACTGTGGACTGTAAGACAGACTCGAAGGATGATCTAATTAGAGCCGTTATGATTGCCATTACGCAACTGTAAACTGCAGGTATTCTAATATCATAAACGATGGCTTAACGAATATTCTTCTATAAGGATTTAAACAAAATGTTACAGTATAAAACTCTGTGAAACTCCATAACTGGTTTAGGAAGAGTTATTTGCTTGTAAGCATACCCCAGCGTATGGACCATAGAACAATATTTTTAATGTTCCGCGCAATTACGTGGAGGAAGCGGCCTCTAGATGTCACCGGTTATGCATGATATACTGCTCTGTCCATCAAAATGAGGCACTATGCATCCCTGCTCTATTGAGGCTAAGGTAATATGAAAGTCTCGCCTAAACAAATGGTTCTTTTGCATTCTTGGGAAAGAGTGCTGTGTCATAGGCAGTGGAAGTCTGTTTTCGATGAGACATCCGATATTTTTGTACTGTAGCAAAGATTCGTAGGATGCCACGGCATTTACATGTTATCTTCCGTTCATTGTCGGTGCCTATGAAGAGGAGGACACGTAAGAGGCATTCTCAGACCATTCTTTAATTTACGTAGCACGATTTTGCACCATATATCACTCCTTATTATATTACATATATTGGACATTGAATTGGAGTATTGACTTTAATTACTTCAAGAGTTATTGGGTGGATCTAATTGGGCGTTGCAGTTTCCACTTCGGAAAGATCATTCCAATCCAGGTTTCGCGTCATTTCTTGTCAAGAGAGTTAACAGCACATCGTAAGCAGAAGTTCTATTTGCAGATGACTACGAAATCTAGTACACCACCGTAATGCTTACCTCATTAACATATGAATCCGTCCGTTCTTCAATCTTACCATTGACTTTACTGGTTTCTTTGGGGACAGAAAATCTGTAAGATTTAGCGATATTAATATTTTTTCACGTCAGCAGCTCCAATGCTTATGGACTGGGTACTATGTTTCGTGGTAGGGAGATAATTGTGTTATTCTGGAGGTCGAGGTTCCCTGAGCTTCTTCTCCCTAGGCTCCATTCCAAAACTGAACATTTATGCTTTTCCCACGTTCTCATTAGAAAAATGATCGTTCACAGTTGTTGGTATTGTTATATAATGAACTGAATACATGTGAGGACTGGGCCATCTATTTAAATTTTTTCGGAGGTGCATAGACTCTTTAATTCTGTAATTTATTTGAAACAGGTACATCTGTCATAAAATAAATAAATTATTCATTCATGATATTCAAATGATTATAAAACGTGGATTTTAAGTTGAAAGCTATTCCCAGACTGCATACTACGCAACGCCGCATGTGAAAGTGTGTTTGGAATAACAAGAAAAAAGAGGAAGTTGAACGAATACGTACCGATAAAAACAGAAGTCCGTGATGATACTGCATAAGTGAAGAAGTTGAAGTGCAATGAGCAGAGCATGCTGAAAGAAGATACGATTGTCGGTAGAGCAGAAGGACATTACAGTGGCTTCTAGGAGACAGTCAACGATCCCTAGTAAGGTCTCCCGATCGATGGCAGGATGGCTAAAGACGTTTGCTGAAATAGGATGGATGAAAATGGCACATAGCAGAGGTTCATGGAAGCGTCATGGAGATGCTTTCATCCAGAAATGGATCGAAAGAAGCCTATGATAATGTTGAATATTCATGCGCTCCTACGAACCGTGATTTTAATATCTAATGAAACATTACTGTAATGAATAAATTCTGTTAGATAGTTGAAATTAGCGAATCGAAGGGCAGCGTATTCGAGACAGACATTTACAGGGAGTTCAAATATGCATTATTATCTTTGGTGCATTGAGTTTGTATGTCTGACTGTATTGTCTCGAAAAAGTGAAGAATTTAAATATGATAAAAGTATGATTTCAGAGTTTCGACTCTGGGCTCATAGTTTTGTAGATAGTTGGTTGAACGATTTATTGTTCAGCACATAAAATACAGCAGATGGTGAAATATTTATTGCCAACGCGTTTCGCTACATACACCGTAGCATCGTCAGGGCTACGTCCAAATGGCTGCTTGAAAGTACTTATATCCAACAAGCGAACACTGCCATTGTTTCCCAATTGGCATAGTCAACAAACAAAGCATTGTTAAACTGTTTGATGAGAATGTTGACCAACAAACTCAAAGTAAAGTTCACATTAAAATGCAATAGGATCTTTGTTATTTTGACCTGATTTGGCTGATAAAGAAGTCTCTACACATACTGACAATGAAGTTCCGGATGTGCAACGAATACACATCTTCCGCAGTTATTAATGAAAGCAGGTGTGAATTCGATATACAAAATCAAGCCAACTTTTGGATCAGCATCATTTACTGCAGCGTACGGTAGCGCTGACATATGCTGCAAGTAGACTAAATAACAGCGCTATTTAATGTCTACTTTCCAGAAATAAGGCATATAGAACAACATTAGAATGAAGGTATAAAAACCAGGGACGTCTGGAAGAGAATTTGGCAAAATACGTCTGTCTTGAGCATCAAGCAGAAAAAGCTTCGTGCTACAAAACAACATTCAAAATGTCACGACAGGCCTGCACTGAAAATGTTTCTTTTGACGATGTAGGAACCGACGACCTCAGCCAATCTGCTAAACGGCAGAAAAGGCATAGACAATACGAGCTGGTCATAGATGCTGATTTTGCGCAGTAAAACGTAAGTGTTCATCACCGTCCTGAAAACTGCACTGTTTTCCATTTCCATGCATGGCTTCCGTTGTGTGAGATGTCAGAAGGAAGAACGTTCTTCAGACATTCTGAAAATACAACGGCACCAAAATTTTCCGGACTCATGAACAGAGAATCTGTTGAAAGTCAAGGGACTGGCAAAATTTTAGACAAACTTGGAGTATACGGGAATTTGATTAACTAAATGATCCTCACACGAATGCAATTTTTTTGAAAGTATCCTTACCCAATCGTCCGCTGACCGTTGA